GTCTTCTCGGTCAATAGCAGTAAAAGAGGAGACACGAATTTCCTACAAAACCCATGGCATCGCAACCTCAAAACGGCCAACGGCCACAAGTCCAACCATGTCGATATAAAACAGGGAAGACGCTAGGAGCTGGCTCCTATTCGGTCGTGAAGGAATGCGTGCATATTGATACTGGTCGATATTATGCTGCGAAGGTCATCAACAAGCGATTGATGGCTGGAAGGGAGCACATGGTATGGTCTCAGCAGCGCGCGTGAGCCTGAGGAGGAGGAGACGGTTGAGCTGATACTATCTCCTTAGGTTCGAAATGAAATCGCTGTGCTGAAAAAGGTGTCGATGGGTCATCGAAATATCTTGACTTTGGTGGATTACTTTGAAACCATGAATAACTGTACGGTCCTGGGCGGATATCTCCCGCCGCTTTTGCCTGTTCTCTACGAGATCAATCGCTTATGATTCTCCAGTATACCTCGTCACCGACCTCGCGCTTGGAGGAGAGCTGTTCGACCGAATTTGCCGTAAGGGTAGCTACTATGAATCCGATGCTGCGGATCTCATTCGTGCCACTCTCTCCGCGGTAGCATACCTCCATGATCATGGAATCGTACATCGGGACTTGAAGCCCGAGAACCTTCTGTTTCGCACGCCGGAGGACAATGCCGACCTCCTAATCGCAGATTTTGGACTGTCGAGAATAATGGACGAAGAACAGTTTCATGTCCTGACTACCACTTGTGGTACACCAGGCTACATGGCGCCAGAGATCTTCAAGAAGACTGGTCATGGGAAGCCTGTGTAAGGATATCCTCTTCTTTCCGCTCTAAATAACTTAGACTGTCCCCATATATGGACGAGATACTATTAAGCTAGCAAACTCGCTAACAAATACCCACTTTGAAAAAGCGACATCTGGGCCATCGGCGTCATAACCTACTTCCTCCTCTGCGGCTACACCCCCTTCGATCGGGATTCCAACCTTGAAGAGATGCAAGCCATCCTCGAGGCGGACTACTCCTTTACCCCAGTCGCATACTGGCGCAACGTCTCCCAAAGCGCCCGCGAGTTCATCAAACGCTGCCTCACCATCGACCCTCACGCCCGCATTACCGCTCACGAAGCTCTTCAACACCCATGGATCAGTCCACCCGCCGATCCTCTCAATCCCAACGTTCCCGTGCGCATGGGCTCGGGAGAAGACCTTCTCCCGGTGGTCAAGAAGAACTTCAACGCTCGCCGAACACTTCACAAGGCCATCGATACGGTTCGAGCGATCAACAAACTGCGTGAAGGTGGTGGATTGATGATGGAAGGGGCAATGAGTGTGGATCCAAAGCCGGAACGGGTTATTGGTGACAGAGTGTTGCAAGAAGATGATGAGGATAGGATGGAGATTGATAGTCGGGGTAATGCTAGAGGTCAGACAGAGGAGCAAATTAGGGAGCAGGAAAGGAAAGTGAAGGAAGTTGTGACGGGCTTGTGGAGTCAGACTGCGGCTAGGAGAAGATGAGAAGGGCTGGTAGGTTTTTTGGTTTCTTTTGCTTGGTTTTATGGCGGTGCTTTTAAGGCGGATTATAGCGATGAGGGTGAGACCTCTACAATCCCTGCCCAGTTTATACTGGAGTTTGAGTTTTCAAATCGAAAGTTCATCGTTGAAGTTTGTCCCCGGGTGTATATCCATAAATGGTGTTTATAGCATGTAGCCGAAGTTAGCAAATATCAATGGCTGCAAAACTGATGGTTGGTGTCCCTTAAGGGCCTCTTTCTCTTCGCGTTTTCCCTTAAGTTATTCTCTACACAGCAATTCTCTTCAAATATAATGAACGCAACCGATCTAATAATTATAACCCCAAGTTACTCCGGGCATTATTGGGTGTATCTATGAACTTGTCAAGGTGAACATCTTCATAAAAACAAGGTGACGAGATTTCTGAAGGAAAATATATTGGGGAACCATGACGCAAGATGTTCAAAAGCCTGTTCCTAGAAGCTTTAGGCGGTCCGGGGATGATGCCACCCAGTTTCTCCACTCTTGCCACTGTGCATGGGTAGCACTGGCTTTGAGACCCTGATACCGGACAGTCTTGAAGTCTGAAACTTCCTCCCACGGCTTCTTTGTATTATGTTCACTATTTGCGTTGCTTCTCAAGAACCTGCGGGCAACGCTTGAATATACGGGGACAACATCCCAGCCTGCCTTTCGCATCAGACTCTCCACGGTGTCTTCTTTCGTCCAGCCTTGTTCCACAGGGACGTCCGGGAGGTATGTAGCTCCATATCGTCTTCCGCGATGAGTAAATGAGATACGGATGCCGTGAGTACCTAAAACCCAGTCCATTGCATGTGAACAGGTTTCGAACGACGAGAGGAGAGTAAGGGAGCAAGAGAGGGAAGGCATCAGTGAGGCCGGTACTGGCGAGAAACGTGTGTCTCCGAACGCCCTTGTAAGAAGATCAGTCTTCCGCTAATAATAGATGTTAGAGTCGAGAAATCAGAACTAAGAGAAACATACGATGAAAGTGCGTATGACTTTAACCCGGAGGGGAGATCCTGAGGTTCAAAAGTGCCAATACAGCCGCGAAGATGTTTGTGACCGTCCCGGCCGATGACATTCCACGTCACAAATAAAGGATAATTAATGTCAGAGGTGCGCGCTACTGCGCTATAGCTCTGATTGCTGAGAGAGATTGGAGTGGATTTACTACTCTGAGAAGTCAAGGATGTGGTGGCCGTGAGGGTTGAGAGAGAGGAAGTAGTGGATAAAACTGAAGGGGTTGATGACTGGGAGGACCCAGGAGATGGCAGACCCTGAAGACGAGAAATGCTCGGGAGTTTAACAGGATTAGATCGATCTGCAGTCGCTTGCTGATCAACGGCCTCGTCGCCTTTTGTATCCGGGTCATTCTCATCTCCCTGGTCTCTAGCCTTATCTGGAAGCCCCTCCCACTCCTCGCTCTCGATTTCTCCAGCATCAGTTCGCGAGGCGGAGTTTAGAGGAAGTTCTTTGAACGCTTCATATTCTCCCCACAAGTCTTCGACCAAGGAAAGACTTGGGGCTTCCGTGCCTTCAAACGAGGCAGAGAGACATTCAAAGCAGTAGAAGCAGTGGGCTGGAGAAGCCATAAACCTGGTGATAAACAGAACTGGGGCTTTACAGCTCACTAGCCTGTAGAAGAACGATCTTCTTGGGTTAACGGAAGCCGGATATCAGTATCTCAAAGCGGGGGAGGGCCAGGAACACTTGCACGACGGAACCAGCGGAAGGCACCGTTTTGGTATATTGAGGTAGGGTTGTGCAAGAATCAAAGTGGCTCGGGAATGCGCAGGAAAAGGAGAAGTTTGCTGGCCCTCCCGATGAAGCCGGAGATGATATCCTCTGTGCCCTTGCTTGTTGGAAGCGGGAGGATGAATCTGGCGCGGTTTGCGCGGGGAGTCGGGGAGGTCGGGCGGGCCTCGCTTATGTAATTTTATGTGTTAGTAATCAATCAATCAATCAATCAACTAGTTCAGGCGAGAACCAGGATCAGTTTCTGATGCCTGCAATCTAGCAAGGTGATTCAACAGCTCAGGTCCATCCCATACTGTACCACCAATGCAGAGATAATTGGTGCTAGCAATTCTGATTGCACGTTCTGATATCCGGTAGAATACTACCCCGAGCTGTGTCACCACCTCCGTGTGCGTTGGCGTTTGACACGAGAAGCACAACTCACCACATGCACAGAAGTTAGTTAACTCGTGAACTACTTACATAGTCAGCTGGTTAGTTAGTCCTCTTTGAGACTAGTGCATTGTTGGTGCACTGCTTTCACATCCTTTGAAATGTCGTCGTCACTCATCACTGTTGGCAACACGCGACAGCATCAAGTCAAAACAACGACAGCAACGCCAAGTTGAACATCATACTGTGAGGCTTGCAGGATGGCATATATGAGGTAGGATGACGGCAGCTAACTTTGCACCGCCTTGAGGGGCAGGCTGCTGAAGCCCAGATCGATGGCGTGGCCTCAAACAGGTCTCGTCTCGAAAATCGTCTCAGCCCCCTCCTGTGCTCCTGGATGCCCAGTGCCACTCAAGCCTCTGTGTTCCGCTCGATGCAGCCGGGTTCGCGTATTCTTCAAAGCTGATGTCCTCTTGTGAGATATGACACGGGGCTGAACCCAATGTGGAAGCTTCCTTCTGATTTCTGGGCATGTCGTAGAATGCATAGATTTTTCCATTTCTGCTCATTCCTGGCTCTGCTGCGACAAAGCTGTTACTGAATGAGTCTGACTGAGCTGTATATGACCAGTTGGACTTCGGCAACTGATCTACATGATATTTGTCGTCCCTGAAAGAAAAGGATCGTATTTAAACGTCCCTCTAGGACCTGCAAAGGATAGTTTCGCTCTCCATCTTTGGTCAGAACTATTGTTCAAGCATCTCAGCATTCTTTGGTGTGCAATTTCCGTGTGCTCCCTTCTCTTCTGCCGGATCTTTCTTTCATTGCGCTATTCCGGTCAATCGTTGTCGCCGGCCGACTTTTCGCGCCCTGAATAAACGCTATCCCAAACTCAAAATCTATTCAACCACAATGAAGTTCACTCTCGCTCTCATTTCTCTTCTGGCTGCTGCTACTATGGCAGTTCCGGTGACTCGCAAGCGTATGTAGGATTTCACTTTTTTTTTGGCAGATCGTCTACTGAGTGCCATCCCTTATAGGAGGCGATACCCAGCCTGTCATGACCAACGGCAGTAAGGAGATTGTTCCTTTCGACAGTGAGGGAGTTGTTACGGTTTAGTAGTTTGGAATTCACCCGATAAACGTGGGCCAGCGTGGCCATCAAAGCGATCTGTGTGATTCGCTACTGTTTTTGGAGAACCTACTCAATCTCGACGATTTCGAGTGGCGGAATACATTCTTCGATATTTTGTTATTTAATAACTTGAAATCAGCTTTCATTTCAGAGGCAGCCCATTTATATTCAAGGTCCTACAAGACGCACACCACTGGGAAGCTCTCCTTATTGCCCACGGTCATCTTTGGGCATCTTCATACCCATCATTCCTAGTAGATTACTTCCAGGGCCCGCTGCACCGCCCTGGCTACGCAAACTCTCAAGGAGATTCCTGGCTAGATTCACGTCGACATCAGAGTCACCGTGATCGTCGTCATCGGTGGTGTCGGCGTCTTCTATGTTCCGGATGGGGGCTTTCCCCTTGAGTGATCGGTTTTTGCGTTTTGACTCCTCTCTCAACACCCGGTTTGGGTCCAGAACCCCGGCTTTCTTCAATTCAGCTTCCATTTGCCTGGAGAGTTCCTGAATCTCTTCGAGTTCTTCGTCATTATCTTCACCATCGTCGTCATGGCCATGTTTGTTTCTCTCTATCTCCACCTCTTCATCACTAAAATCCAACTCCTCTTGTGACAATCCCTGCCGTATGTTTTGTAATTCCTCTCTTAGTTTCCGATTTGAATCCATGATTTCAGATTCCTTTAGAATTGGTTTCGTTTGCTGCGGTGGCCTTGAGCTTTGTTTAGAAGCCTCCTTCTCATTCTCCTCATCGCTAGATTCCAGCTCCTCTACTCGTGCATCTCTTCGGGGGCCAGCAGTCATTCCTGAGCTCGTAGACGGCAACCCCATCATTTCTCGCATCATTCTTGAAAACTCCTCCTCATCGAACGATGCTTCCTTATCTTCACCATCGCTACTCAACTCTTCCTCATCAATCTCGCTATCATCCGATTCACTGAAAAAATCCGCCCCTTCAAAACCGGCACTATCATCGTTCAAGAACTTTTCAAACTGAGCAACTATCCTTTGTAGATTTTCTTGGGCTGTCTTATCACCGAAGTCGCCCATCTTAATGTTATCACCGGCCTCTTTCCTTCCTTTCAACTCGCTTTCCAAGTCTTCATAATTGATATCCAGCCATGATTCATCGTCCTCTCGCCTATCCCATTTTTCTGCGATCTCCTCATCACTTGGAAGCTTGTCATCACCGGCCTCGATATCTTCAAGAACTAATTTGATCTCTCTGACCACAGGTTTGTCTTGATTCTGTGGGTCGAACAATAGCATCTCAAATCCACATGTTAATTTCATCCCAACTTCAGCACGGCTATACTCTTTAGACTCTGGGTCAAATAGTAACTTCGGCTTCCATTGCTTGGGTGGATCGAAGTCCTGGCTTTTCAGCTGCGCAAATCCGGTTTTGGTGAATCTAACGCTTACGGTGACAAGGTCGGTTGGATCAAAGAAGAGCGGCCGTTGGTCATTAGATTGCAACACTCGTAGAGATATCGGATCGCGGATATAAAATGCTTCGACAGCCGGAGAGACATAGGCAGCTTTCATATGCAGAAGGTGGGCGATGGTACGGGGAACGGTGGCCAAAGATGAATGCATATTCTTGGTTATTTGATCTGGATAGTTTCGTAGGCGGTAGAATGCTTCTTCTTCAATTGTTGGAGACCGCATAAGCCTGGTAGGTTCGTTAAGAATGATCTTCCTCGCATCGCGAAAAGCCAATTTTTCAGTGAGTTTCTTTCCTACGGCCCTCGCTGTCGTTGGCGGCCCAATAATAACCAATTCCCCTCTATGAATCCATACCCTATTGCTTGCTATGCCGGGATCCTCAAGCCACGGCGGCAATGACGCTGCAGCTTCTACGAGCAAGAATTCGCCATCGTTATCGGTTACCTTCACCCAGAGATTATGGAACTTGCGTGTCAACTCGCGCAGGAGGAATACAATGACCCATTCGTCCTCAATAGAATCGCCGTACTCGGTACGTCCGCGAAGCAGGTTAACCCCTGTCAAGCCGGCAATTGATCAGCAAATGCTTTTCCAGTATAACATCGAGGACCTTGGTTAGTATCCGTCCACGACAGACCTGCTCACCATCTTCCTTGATTTGCTCAAGCTTAAATCCTTCGCGCTGCCATATATAATCCCTCAAGTATTCCTTGACTAACTCAGATGCTGCCTTTTGGACTTTGCTCAATGCGGCACGGGACGCCACTGGCTCATCCTCGGAACCTGGTGTAGCATCCCCGGAAATACAGTAGAGAGAGTACTCCACACAATCTTCCGGGAGCTCGGGTTTCGGGATTGGATGGAATGTTGATTTAAACCATTCGATGTCTTCCTGCGACATGGGCGCCATCTTGCTTTCCCCTGCAGATGCTTGACCGTCCCCAGGTCTTCCCCCCCTCAACGCAAACAATTCTAAAGCTCTGATTATATAACCACCGATGACCTCATGTTGTACGGGCCAATGTTATTCCGATACTGCCAACTCGGTCCACCCTAGGCCGGATTAGGCTAGAGATAAACAAATGCCCCAAACCCGCGAACATGTCCGTCTTGCAGGAGATTCCCATCGCGATATGTGGGTTTCGAATACGCGCCGGGCGTTCTTATCACGGAGCTATGAGTATTTAAATTGAATCACGGCATATATTTATATTTGACTCCTGCAGAAAATGGCATACAATTATATTGATACACCGCGAACCCAAGTCGGGAACGCGACATACTTAAACACCGGCTTTCGAAGCACCACACGACACAATCTTTCGGCTCTAGATTCGCTCGAAAACTCCTTCCATTCGCCTTCCGAAGATAGAGATCTGCTTAAATCAGGCGAAAATAAGCGAAGTCGTAAAAGCGATGACTTCTCGCTACGAACTCCGCGAGCTGGGCCAGCTCCACGATCCGCAAAAGGAGGCATGCAAAGCCGGCGGAATCTTCCCACCGCAGCGATTCCTCGCGGCGAATTCACGCCCCTCATGAAGAGTGTTACGAAGAATAATTTTTTGCGGAATACAGGGAAGGGCGGACCGGAGACACCGGCTTTTCTGCGGAATGATTATAGGGATCCGAATACACCAGGGCTACCGAGGATCGAGGCTAGCGAAATCTATGAAGATCGCTCTATGAACTCGATCAACGAAAATGATGCCACACCCATTCCTGAAGTAGCGAGTAGCAGCCCACAAAGTACGCCGCTGCCCGTGCTGCCTTCACGGAACGGGGGCGGAGGGGTTTTGGGAGACGATAATATGATGACATTGAGGGAACAAGAAAGCGTACCATACCCATTTTCCGTATGTGATTTGTGAGGAAAGGTTCGGTTATACTAACGACGTATCTCAAATCTAGGCTATCGATAAACTCAACAAAGACAACTTCGACCTTAAACTCAAGGTCCACTTTCTCGAGGAAAAGCTCAACAAGCTTGGACCAGATGTGAACCGCATTGCTCTGCAAGAGAATATAGAACTTAAGGTTAGCGGAAAGACGATGGAGCGAGAGCTGTATCGTTGTAAGAAGAGTCTGGCACGAGCTCAAACAAAGGCAGAGTCTTGCCAGCGAGAACTCGAAGAATTTCAGGAAATGTGGAAGAGGAAACAGGGCGATGATGCACCGCAGAAAGAATTAAACTGGATGAAGGAAGAAATGGAGACCAAAGATATTGAGATTAACGAGTTACGGGAGGACTTGAAAGCAGCACAGGAGAAGCAATCGGATGAATTGCAAGAGCTCCGAGGTCAGATCAGTGACTTAGAATATACTATCAGAGAAAAGGACCGACTGTTGGATGAAAAAGAAGACGAGCTTGAAGACCTCAAAGAAAAAGAGCTGGAGGAGCACAGTTCTCTAGCCGAGCTGGAGGCCGAATTGGAACGCGCCAGAAATCAAATTCAAGAGCTAAAGGGGAGCATCGAGCGCATGAAGGGCGAATCACAGAATGCGGAGGCTGCCTATCAAAAGGCAAACGAGGAGAGAGATCGGGCTGTTGACGACTTGAGGGAACTCCAGGATGAAATGGCAAATAAGTCATTCTATTCCAAAGGTCTTAATCGTCAACTCGAAGAAAAAGCACACGCTCTTGAGGATGAGGTTACCACCCTACGACAGCAATGCAATGATGCGCAGGAAGAACTGGAAAGCAAGAGGAAAGCCGAACGTCAACTTGGCCAACAGGTACATGATCTTCGGCAGGAGCTTGTCCTGGAAAAGGGTAGGTATGAAGATAGGATCAACCTACTCGAACGCGAGCGTGACGTAGCGAGAAAAGAACGCGATTCCGCGTCATCCCAATTATGCGAAATCGAAGACGAGCTCCGATCCAGGGGTGACGACAAAAATCTGCTGCAAAATCGGCATGATGCGTTGACGCACGAGTCCCAAGAACTACAGAGAGATCTCGAAAGGGCTAGAGACAATATTGCGGATTTGGAACAGCAGATCTCCGACGAGAAACAAAGGTATTTCGAGGCCATCGAAGATCTCAGACTGCGACACAGAGACGAGATTGATCTATTGCAAGACGATATCGAGTCTCTGAAACGTAAACTCGAAGATAGTGAAGCTCAGTTCAACGTTGATCGAGATAAATGGGAAAGCGTCAAGCGTACATTAGATTTACAGAAACATCAAGCGGAACAACAGGCTAGCGGATATAAACGGACTGTCGAAAGGCTCCAGCAAACGGAATCGTCGCTGTCTGGAAAAGAAAAAAGACTACAGGACGCAATTGACAGCGAAAAACAGCTGCACCTACAGGAAAAGGAGCTGCTTAATTGCCAAATTAAGGATCTCACTGATGACATAGCTTCCCGACGACAAACCATAGAGAGTCAAAGAACAGAGCTACTTTCGCTCAAGGAAGAATTAAGAGTCGCCAAACGAGAAGGGGAGATGATGGAGGAAAAGATCCGAAACTTGGAAGATGAAGCCATCATTCTAAAAGCAAGCCTCGAACAGGAGATGCAATTTGGTGAAGATAAACGGAGGAACGGCGTGTCCGAACTGGAGAAGCAGCTACAGAATTCTCTCCGGGAGAAACAAACTCTCCGCGACCAGGTCGCGAAAGCAGAAGCAGAGTTAAGCGAGCTTCGGGCAGCCCTTCCCGATATTGAAGCTGATCGTGATGAGTTAAAGAGTCAACTTAACCGTTTCCACAATCAAGTGGACGAAACTTATCGATTTGATCAAGAGAAACTGGATCTTCGCAAAGCCAAGCTACGTTTCGAAGCCGATATCAAACGGTTGAAAGAGGAGAACAGAGTTCTAGTTGAAGCGAAGAAGACACTAAAGAATGAACTAGATATTGAAGTCGAAAGAGCTGCAGGTGAAGAGAATAGGCTGCTAGCAGCGCTCGATCAGCTCCAAGACAAACTCTTTACGACATCTGAACAACGGAATCGCGAATTGGCGGTTGCTAATAATAAAGCAACTCGATTGGAGAATCGCGTTAAGGATCTCGAGGCTATTCTCGAGCAGCAGGGCGCGGCTGAAGTAGACATTCCTCCGATATCATCTGACTCTTCCATTCTCCGTCATCGTTTGGACGAATCCCGCAAGAAGGAGAGGGCAGCCCTTCAACGTGAAGCAGACCTCAAATCGTCTGTCCGACACCTCAAGGCCTGTATCGCTGACCTCGAGATGGAGAATCACGAATTACAGACGCAACAGTTCGATCCAATCAGCTCCAGCGCTGGCATATCACCGACGTCAAAGTTTTTGGAAGAGAATCGCAAGCTTCGTGGTCAAGTGCTTGAAGCCCACAAAAAGATGAAGGAGCTGCGAACCAAAAACCATGAGCTTCAACGCCACGCCATGATGGGAGAGGAACGAAAAGAGCTCCATGAGTTGCTCAAGTCCGCAACACTTGAGGCGGAGTCTCTGTCCGTGAAGCTATCCGAGCGCGACGCGCGTGTTAACGAGCTACGAAACCATCTGCGTCGAGTCCGCGAGGAGCGCTCTCTCTCTAGAAAGCGAGCAGATACTGCAAATAACCAACTCCAGGTACTTCAAGATAAATACGAATTAGCCTTGGATGACATGGCTAGCCGGGTGGAGAGAAAAGGACGACATGAGAAGGAGCTAAGGGGTCTGAGTAAAGAAATTCTTTGGCTTAGAGCCAGATTATCGAGGGAAGAGAGGTTCCGGAAAGATCTTGCATGGAGTAAGGGTATCATGGAGCTTGGAGAGCGGGTCCGGATTGCTTGGTATGTTGTCATCTTTCTCTGATCCGTAAATATGGATTACTAACGGCTTCCTTTTAGTAATGAAATGGACCTTAAGATGATTGCAGAAATGGGCGTCGAACCCAGTGTTGCTGCCACAAAATTGAGCGCCAGAAAGAAATTCAAGAGCGCTGTTTTGGTAGTCATGGCAGCCACTCGAATGCAAAAACTGGCGACTGAGTGGAGAAAGGCGAGAAAGATTGGCGAAGGGCTTCGGAGAGCAAAGGCCGAGCTGCTGAAAAGAAGAGAACTTGCCCAGAAGGCGTCGGCTCCTAGTCTCATACAGGCTTGATTTTGTATAGGCTTGTTGTAATTTTTTTTTGCTTTTCAGCGTATACTGATATCCTCCTTGTTTGCATATGGTTTGGGTACTACAAGGCGTTAGTGGCCTGGGGATTGGATCGGATTCTTGGTACACATAACAGTATAAATGGCAACGGTTTGAACTACGATCGCGTCTATAATAACGGGAGATGAATCCCCCTGTCCAAAAACCTTATATTACGGCCGTACGCCTCGAACAAATGCCCATGAGTTACAAAATAGCAATCACCTAAGGATTTGAGCCCTGGGACCGGCTACCACATGCTTTGCCGCCGAGAGGGACGGAAAATGGACAAACACGTTGTAGCCACCCATCTCAAAATGCCATTGATATGCCCAGTTAGATTCCCTCGATTCTCAGCCCCTTGGCATGTATACCGGCTACTTTATCTAATCATTACACTAGCTAGATATTTTTAAACAGGATAACAAGAATGACCATGGCATGACTATAAACACCGCTCATTATCATAATCAGGGGGGAAGGCAAGTTCAAAATATAGAGGAATTGTAATGACAAAGGGGCAGGGCAGTTTTGAAGCATTATATTTAATGTCTTCAGAGGGGTTGATAAATAACGCTTGCAGTCCTCCAGGTAAAACAATCAACGCCCAGAACGCATCGGATCTATGGCATCACACCACATGCTAACACAACGCCACAATCCAATCCCACAGCTTGCAAAATTAGGCACCTTCGCTGCCAAACTTCTTCGTCCATTCTTCATTTTTTTCCAGATCTTCTTCGCTAACTGTCGGCCTGGAGGATTTAACGGCTTTCACAAAGTCCCTTAGCAAAAGGGGAGGTTCAAGAAGTTTATCGGCATCAACATCTACCCAGGACATTTCAATCGCCCCATGATCGCCTGGAGAGCACGGGGTAAGCTTTTCTTGATCGTCTAAAAGAACCTATTATGCTCCTTTAGCATGGGTTACATATCAGTTAGGAGGAAAAGGGAATGCAAACCTTCTTATAATGTGTAGCTGACTGAATCTTTCTCACAGGCTGCATTAAAGCATCCTGGACTGCAATACTGATATCACTACCAGAATAGCCCTCCGTCATTTCGGCTAGCGCTCGGTAATCCGCTTGCGTCAATTTACATGGTGTCGAGCCAACATTCAGCATAAACATCTTCATTCGTGCGGCCGTATCGGGTAAACTGATGTGCACCCTGCGCTGAAATCTTCGTCGAATAGCCATATCTAATTGCCAGGGAATATTTGTTGCACCAAGGATCAATACTCCCTTCGTATCATTTCCGACGCCGTCCATTTGGACAAGTAATTCGGTTTTTATTCGGCGGGATGCTTCTGATTCCCCTTCTCCACGAGGCCCGCAGAGGGCATCGATCTCGTCAATGAATATAATCGCTGGCTTGTTTTCTCTTGCCATGTTGAATAATTGTTTTACAAGTCTGTTTCCCAGAGAAGATTAGCTTAAAGCCGAATCCGGACCATTTATGCCTGGAGGCTTACCTCTCACTCTCACCCATCCACTTTGAAACTAGATCACTACTGCTCACGCTGAAAAATGTGCTATTTGCCTCTGTCGCAACCGCTTTTGCTAAATACGACTTGCCAGTGCCTGGAGGGCCGTAGAGTAATATTCCCTTCCATGGCTGGCGTCTTCCCGTGAAAAGATTTGGGAACTTAATGGGCAGTATGACCGCTTCTTTGAGCGCTTCTTTTGCCGCATCAAGACCAGCAACATCCTCCCATTTCACATTAGGCTTCTCCGATAAGATAGCGCCCGCGAGTGCACCCCGTAATTTCTTCGTGTCAGCGTCATCGTCGTCGTCGTCTTTCCTATCCGCCAAACACCCGTCAGATCCTCTTCCAGGAACTCTTTTACAAGAGGCACAGAGAAACCGATAGGTGTAACTCACCCTCCTTTCCCACTCCCATGCGCTACCTTCCCATTCGCGCCCACCGCGCTAGGCTTCTTCCTATTGTCTGTCCCCGCTAAGTGGTTTTTCAGCTTTTCCGCTCTCTCCATGTACTCCCCCGTCTTGGCGCGAATCATCTCCTTCGATTTAGGATTCTTCTCCCATTTTAGAGCGAGCATGAAAAGCTCGAGGGCGGAGTAGTATGTCTGGTAGGCCTTTTCGTACTCCCCCGCATTGTCATGCTCGATCGCTTTTCTGACCGTGTCGATGGCACGGCCGAGGAAGTCGGTGTTGCTCATGTTGGTGGAGAGTGAAGCCTGTTGTGTGATCGGAAGTGTAGGCCAGGGAAAGGATTCGAAGTGGTGGAGTGAGACAGGCAAGTGGTGGTGTAAAGCTGGTGCGGTTTGATCACTGGTGATGCTTTAGTTGGATGGCATGATGTGGGTCAAGATTGCAGATAGCTTTTAAAGGTGATTTAGAGTGTTGGATAAGAAGATCAAGAGCTTTTAGTGGTGACTGAAGAAGATGTTTCATGGGATACAGGGTGTTTTGTTGAATGTGCAGAACCATGTCAGTTGCGATGTCACCCCGCTAGTGCTGGTTGCTATGCTGCAACCATGAATCTACATTTTGCCCGAACTATTCCATTATCCGCACTCGCCCAAGCCAACACCGCAGAAAGTCCACATACGCTGTGATACTTGCCCAGACGAAAAAGCCGGACAATGGCCGATTCTCAGAAGCAACTTCAAGCCCTCACTGACGAGTATCAGAAGCTTCAACTAGGTCAGTATCCCAATCCTTCAAAACTTGCCCCAAACTCACCGTGATCCTTCCACCAGAGCTCCAAGGGGTCGTCGAGGCGCGCGAAAAGCTCGAAGCCCAGCAGCAAGAAAACAAGAGCGTACAAAAGGTTGGGGCATTTATTTTATTCCGTTGTGAAACGAACTAGGATGCTGAACATATAATTAATATCGGGATAACAGGAGTTCGCTACCCTTGACGATGATGCAAATATATACAAGCTTATTGGGCCAGTGTTGTTAAAGCAAGATAAGACCGATGCTGTAATGGCGGTCGATGGACGGTTGGACTTTATTGAGAAGGAAATGTATGTCATGTCCAGCCTCCAGATTGGATTATGTTCCTGAGGCTAATCAACAATGCCTACGCTGGGCGTCCCTAGAAAACGGATTGAGAGTCAAATTGCTGATATTGAAGAGGAAAGCGAGAAGAAAAAAGCAGAGGTATGTGGGAGGATAGTGTCATTTGGTGATAGTGCAGAAATCATCACTCTGGAATGTTAACTGTTAAATTGCTATAGGTTATTCGGTTTCAAACGCAGATGCAGCAACAAGCCAGTGCAGCTTCTGCATGAGATAACGCAGCACTGATGTGCGATACGCTGATTTCTTATTCCTGAATGCTGATACCACCCAATCTCGAGAAACTCGCCCTAATTCCTCCGGAGGCCTGCAAGGTCGTATCCCTTGATGGTGGCATGTTTATCATGTTGTTTGGATGAGGCATATGTTGGCCCTATCGATCTAGGTATATGAAGAACTAATGGCCGATAGTCTCACCTTGTATGACGTAGTGAGCAACCCGGTTGGCATCAGCATATTGTAGGGGCTCTCGTCGCCATTGCTCCGAAGTGGCCCTGGCGTTTCCTATGATCTTTTGTTCGCAGGATTGCCCTTAGTGGTCAATAACGGAAGAAAACGACCAGCTAATTCAAGATGAAAGTATTTTGTTTTACTGCAAGCGAATCTATTGATTCAGAATTTACTACAAATACACCTCCGCTCCCAATCTAACCTCGGACTAATGAATTTGATCTTTCACGCTATATGCGTTTTTTTTTGAATCTAAAATCTTTTGTCTAGTTGCGGATAAGCAAGCTGCTTCCGCTCATCTCCTTCGGTTGTTCAATGCCCATGGCATCAAGGATGGTAGGCGCAACATCACCCAAAATTCCGTCCTTTTCCTTCAAGCTCCATCCTTCAGGAGCATTGGCCATGACAAATGGGACTTTGTTTGTGGTATGAGAGGTCTTTGGGGAACCATCGCCGTTCTTCATTTCTTCGGCATTACTATAGTTTGAAATTAGCATGGGAGGCAAACGTTTTATATTATGAAAAAGCTTACCCGTGATCCGCAGTGATGAAGAGGATGTATCCGTTCTCTTTGCACGATTCGAAGATCCGTCCGATGGCTTTGTCTGTTGCGGCAACACCTTGAATAGCTGCCTCGTACACGCCAGTATGGCCAACCATGTCCGGTGGTGCAAAGTTATTCATTACCAAGTCATACTTCTTCTCCGCGATTCTTTCAGCCATCTTCTCCCCGACGGGAGCTGCACTCATTTTTGGGTCTAGGTCATAAGTTGCGACCCTGGGTGACGGGATTAAGTCCCGGTCCTCACCCTCAAACTGCTTCTCGATTCCTCCATTGAAGAAGAAAGTTACATGGGCGTATTTTTCTGTCTCAGCGATGTGGCATTGCTTGAGCCCCTTGACACTCAGCCATTCAGCGAGGACATTACCCATGTGCTGAGGCGGGAATGCAATTGGGAAAGTATAGTCGGTCTTGTACTGGGTCATGGTGGTAATGGCGATGTTCTTGGGGTACGGGAAGTCCGGTTTTGGGGAACGATCGTAGTCACCTAGAAGCTGGGTGATTTCCCGAACACGATCGGAACGATAATTGAAGAAGAAGAGGGTGTCGTCGTCTTTTGGAGTCACAGTTAGAGTCGCGCCATGACCCAGGAATGGGTAAGTTGGGTACGGTACCTTTGACTCTCCTCTCGTCACCTCCAAAGATAATGGGCTTCAAGAATTCATCGGTCTCGCCCTTTTCGTATCTTTCGTTGATCGCTTTGACAGCATCGTCGCTGGCCTCTCCATCTCCCAAGACAATGCCCTTCATGGCGACCTCAATGCGGTCCCATCTCTTGTCACGATCCATGGCAAAGTACCGCCCAACCACGGTTGCCAATTCACCGATTCCTACTTCCTTCATGCTATCCAACAACTGCTGCATGTAACCCGCTCCGCTCTTTGGATCAGTGTCTCTTCCGT